GAGCTTGCATCCCTGCCTCTTCCTCAAGATATCATGCTGGTCCACCATATTGACAACATTGTACTGCTTGGACATACTTACCAGGAAGTAGCAGGTTTGGGGACTTGTTGATAAAACACAACTACATGAGAAGATGGAAAAACAATTCCAAGAAAATTTCAAGAACATTGAACCTCACCAAACTTTCTAGGAGTCCAGCGGTATGGGGCATGTAGAAATATTCCCTCTAAGGTGGAAGGTAAGTTGCTTCACTTGGTCTCTTCCACTTACAAGAAAGTAACAGAACACTTAGTGGGCCTATATAGATTCTGGTGACAGCACACTCCTTACTTGGATGCTTTACTCCAGCCATCAACAAAGTCAATAGAACAAGTGACAGCCTGAAATAGTGCTTTAATAAGAAAAGACAAATCAATAGGTCCATACTATTGGTGAATTTTGCTTTGCCACTTGGGACAAATATCTAACAGACCCAACTTACCTGAGTTTTCCTCTACTATGAACTGAAGTGTCAAAGCATGGAGATCAATGTAGCAATGTCAATCCAAATCAGCTATGTCTCACTGTGTGTGGGCTTCTATATATGTCCTCTCCTCACAGTTCACCCACAGATGTTCTCAGCTGGCCAAAGTCATGCCCCTCACATGCGAGTGCTCAGAGCAAAATACCATATGCCCTCTCATAAGACAACCTGGGAAAATATTTACAACAAAACATCACATGACAAAACCCAGTTTCAAGAAACTTAAAAATTTCCACTTTATACACCCCTTTCTGTTTAAAAAAATGTTTTCCCCTTTAACATTAACAATTTACACAGAATAGCATTATGATGGGAACCATAAAATTAGAACTTTACATCAAACAATAATGGAACAAAATAACATTAAATTTCTATCAATAAACAATAATTAAACAAATAAATTTTTAATTTAACAGCAGGGTCCAACAAAAATGGGAATAACATGGAGGGGAAGGATAGGAAAGAAAGAAAGAAAATGCAAGAAGAACAGCTAAAACGAAGGAACTTACATTTAAGGGATCATATACAAATACATACAGTACAAGCTTCCTACCACATATACATATATGAATGTGATCTAACTGAGATCACCAAATAACAGGGGAGATGTGGTTTTACCTGGCCCTTGGGGATTATGGCCATAAGTCCACAAGAACGATGGTTGCTGAAGCAGTAAAAAGGGGTTCAAATGACCCACAAATACAACATGCAAAGAGATGACCTGTGGGAACCACTTCAGCAAAATAGCTCAAATTTATTTAGGGTGAAAAGGGTAATATAGGACATTGGGAAGTGAGTAGGGGGTTTCTGAAGCTGAGTGTACATCATTGGTTGAGGCATGAAAGTACTGGGATGCCTCATTTGCATGGAAAGGCATTCCAGGAATCACAGGTGCTTACTGGGTGGAATCTTATTGAGAGAAAGGAAGTTGAACCTTAATTTTACTAAGGGCTATGTGACAGTCCTCAGGTAGATGGTGTGGGAGTCTTAGATCTCCAGGCAGAGAAGAGGGAGCTTCACTGACAAAGGGAGTTCTCCACTTTGCCCCAAGATCAGGGCTTTATGTTCATGAATGACTACAGCCTTAGCAGCAGGTTTTCCCAACAGGGAGATACAGTCCCTAATGAAATCTGTCATCACCAAATAAAGCTTCTATTACCAGGAGTCAATTACATCTAATTGAGTTCTTGACCAAAGAGTCTCCATGGGTACCTTCAAACAACCCAAAGTATTCTCAAGGCTATTGTCTGCTTTCCAAAAACTGATGATAAGGCCCTACTCTTGAAAACAACACTTATACGACTCATTGAACATAGAAATTTTGAGCTAGAGACTATCTAGATCCTTCACCCCAATGGATCAGAGTTGTTGGTACTAGAAGGTACAATGTGTTGTACCCAGTTCACAAACCCCAGAAGACCAGAAAAAGACTCTGCTGTAAATGCATGAGGTTTTTAAATTGTATATGCATTCAAATATGGGACACAAACTTCCTGTGGAAACAGGAGAGGAATGTGGCCCAGCGATCTAGGGAAGCAAGGTTTTTATAGGGCAAAACCACAAGCAGGGACTTACATGTTTTGGCATCACATGATTGGGTAAGGGAAATTGACTATTGAAATGATTGGTCCACTTTAGGCATCAAGACTACAAACATTTCTGGCCTAGTCATATGGGCTGGTTTCCTAGCAACTGTATAATTAGTGGGCAGGAAAGAATGCAGTAAGGCTAGTTCTTTCCCTCAGGGGAACATTAAGGCTACTTCTTCCCCGAAGGTGGCTGGACATGTCTCCACCTAACCAGCCTTCCTTCAGGCTTCTGCTTTAAACTTTAAAACAATGCCCACTGATTTTCAAGACTTTGGTCTCTCACATGCATACTACCAAAGAAGAAAGGTAAACATAAATGCAGGTAAAAACCCTGTCTACAATGGTGACCTGCTGGTATAAGAGTAGCACAAAGCATGTGGAAGTAACCAACTAATATATGATTTGCTTCAACGCATGTACTCCATGAGATGAAAATCACACCCAATACTTCTTGGGTATTTCTGAACCTGAGACTAGATAGTCTAGGGAAGGAGAACCAAATACTAGTGTTCTACTGAAAGACATAGCAATAAATTTACTCTTAATATCATTTTGCTGGACTCATATTAGATCTGAGTCTTGCTCAGTCATCATCATGTGTGTGTATATAAACACTATTTACCAGTAGTACTTCTTTTTATATATACATGAACCTTTTTATATTTTTATTAAATTAGTTCATTTATTCTTTTACATCCCGATAACAGCCGTTTCCTTCTTTTTCACCATCTTCCACCCTCCCATCCTCTCTCCTCTTGTACCCCTCCCCTTTCTTCTCAGAAAAGGGGAGCTCTCCTTTACAAACCCACCCCAAGTGCATCCCATATAAGGATATAGCATATCCTCTTCTATTGAGGCCAGACAAGGCAGCCCAGATAGGGGAAAGTTATCCAAAAGAAGGCAACTGAGTCCATGTCAGATATGACCTCTGCCCCACTTGCTGCTAAGAGACTTACATAAAGAACAAGCTTCCTGTTAGCTACATATGTATCTAGGTCCAGTCCATGCATGCTCTTTGGTTGATGTTTCAGTATCTGTAAGCCCTTATGGTTAGTTGGCACTGTTGGACTTCCTGAGGAGTTATTGTCCCCTCCAGTATCTACTATCACCCACCACCACCCCACTTCTCTGTTTAATGTTAAGCTGTAGGTCTAAGTATCTTTTTTAACCCTTGCTAGATGGAGCTTCTCAGAGGACAGTCATGCTAGCATTCTGTCGGCAAGCAGAACTGTACATCATTACTAATGTCAGTGGTTGGCTTTCTCCTACAGGTGGGTGTCAGGGTGGATCAGTCATTGGTTGGCCATTCCCTCTTTTGTGCTCCAGGTTTATCCCTGCACATCCTAGAAGAAGGAACATTTTCGGGTCAAAGGCATTATAGGTGGGTTGGTGAACCCCTCTCTCCACTGGATATCCCACCTGGCTAAGAGGTGGCCACTTCAGTCTCCATGGCCCCTGTAGCTAGAGTTGCCCCCATATCCTGCCAGGATCTTACTCTATCAAAAGTCTCCAGGTTGTCTAAGAGATGTCCTCCACCATCAGTTTCCCTTCTCTCTCTCTCAGCCCTCTCACCTTCCACCGCTGCTCCCCCACATCTGATCCTCACTTTCATTGCCCTCTCTCCCTCAGTTCCCTCTCTGAGTCCACTTTCAACATCCATTCTATTTCAATAAGTGTAGGTGAAATGAAGGGCAGATAAACAGATGTCTAAGATTTTCATAAAAGACACACTAAGTAACTGTTGTTTGAAACATGGGAAAATCCAATTCACAGTGCTTTTATGATCAAGAGAAATTTGAATTAGTAAGCAGAACTAAAGCTACAATTTAAACTGCTATTGAGGACTAATTCATAGAAGATGAAAAACTTTTAAACAGAAAGGCTTAAAAGTCACTATCTGCAGGGAGATTTTTTTGAGGAACCTCAGCATCAAGGACACTTTTACGACATAAAATAATGAGAAAAAAGAGTTCATTTCATTATATGGGTGCTATTATTTCCCTGTGCATAATCCTAAATGTTACAGGTGTGTTGGATAGTTTTATGTCAACGTAAACTAGGATCATAGAGAGAAAAGAGCCTTAATTAAGAAAATGTTTCCTCAAGATAAGGCTATTGGCAAACCTGTAGGGTGCTTTCCTATTTCAGGGTTGGTGTGGGAGGGCACAGCCAATGTGTGCTGCCATCCCTGGGCTGGTGATCCTGGGTGTTATAACAAAGTATGCAGAGCAAGCCAGTATTCCTCCATGGCCTCTGAATAAGCTCCCGCTCGCTTTGAGTTCCTGTCCTGAGTTCTTACAACGATAAATGGTGATGTGGAAGGGTAATCCAAATAAAACCTTCCCTCCCTATGTTTCATTTGATCATGTTGATTAATCACAATAATAACCCTAACTAAGACATCTACCATTCAATTACAAATATTATACTACATAAAATAATTGTATATATAATATATAATATTCCCACTGTACATTATAGATAATGTTTCTTGGCCCACTGACATTAAAATATGAATATTCAGTTGGCTAAATTTCTATTGTTTAAAGAGAAACTTACAGTGTACAAAGAACTGAAGGACTTTATAGTATTAGGCATTAGAAATGTCAAAAGAATGTATATGTATGGTGCCACAGATTTAATTTAAATCATATGAAAAATGTTGCTTAGCTACTTGAACTATTAAAGTTTAAGAAGAATCTGTATTTCAGAAAAAAAATAATTGGGGCTGTACCAGAATGATTCCTTATAACCATCTTTAAGTCAAGTTCCAGGTAATCCTATGACCTCTTTTGACCTCTGGAAGCACCATGAAAGCACACATGCATACATGCACTCATACATATAAATAAAAAATGAAAAAATTAAATATGATTTAAAAACTATTTTTAAAAAATCTGGTGGCACTTTGACTGCTTGTTTTTCAGCGCATTGATTAGTCTCTTATCAGAGCTGATGTGTACCAAAGGAGTAATTGTGGGATAGGTATTCATCACAAACTTCTGAAGAGTCAGAATGAATGGGTCATACATCCATACTAGGATTGAGGTATTTGAGATGAGGAAGTCCACCCAGTACATGATGACAAAGAAAACTACCAGCAGCAAGATGGTCCACGTGGCCCTTTTCTCAGGGGACACTCTCAGGTGGCTGATGCTGTGAAGATGCTTGCATTGCCTCTGATGTCTGAACAGGATGATGACCATGTATGCACTTGTGGTCAGCATGACTCCTACAAGAAACACATCTCTGGATGTTGTCACTGCTAAAATCACTCCCCAGATGATGTAGTTCATGGGGAAGAGTGAGCAGGATTCAGTGACCTTCATCTGGTTTGTCTCACTCACATTGGTAAAACCACCAACATAGAATATCAGGTTACTACTGAAGGACAAATTGAAAGACCAAATAGAGAAGAAAGCACTAATCATGTATTTTTTTAGCTTAGGTTTAAATTTTGCCAAAAAAGAGGTACTGGGACTGATAGTGACAGCCTGGAACACACTCAGGAGGCAGGTGATGCAGATAGAGAGGCCTCTCATCACCCTGTGTATGTAAAAAGTTGCCTTACATTTGAAGTCGTTCTCAATGTTCAGTGACTCAAATATGTCTGTAAGCCAAATGTCACCACCAGTGAGGATCATCATTATGTGAATGAAGGTCAGTTGATAGGACATCAGGTCTGTGGGCTTAAGTCTGTGACCTACAATTATGAAAGTATAGAGAAAAAGAAGACACATATTGGCTATGACTCCAAACCCAGCTTGGAAATAAAGGACATTCTTTAGTGAAGACATAAGAGGAAATTAAATTCATCTTAAGAGAAGAGAGGAAGGATATTTCATATATCTGGAAGAAAAACAGAGTATATGTCAATCTTGTGATTCACTAGTTGGTGGGTCTATATCATTGTAACATATTACCTATTTACTCTTCATTAACCTGCACCTTTAACTTTTGATGTTCCATACTAGACTTCATAGCCTACATTTGTATATACTCTCCACATGTCTACCTGGAGAAATAGAATACTGGACATAATAAATACTAGCACATCTATATAGAATACATGTTTTGAGTATGCCTGTATTGAACCTGAGTTTCATACCTTAGAAATTCAATCCTGTTTATTCAAATTGCCTCATTTTATTCTTAATACCTAAAACAGTAGTAGGGAGTACAGAAAATTAGTCACATTTGTGCAACTAAAAAAAACTTACATTGATCTGGAAAATAGTCACAAAAATTTAAAAACTGAAGTGAGTCTGTCTAATATTCTATAATTTTACTATGTTCAAGTTTGCAACTATCTATGTCTTGACTCATAATTCTAATGGAGTCACACTGATAATTCATGATAATGCCACTACTTTAATCAGCAAAAGGTCTATCTCATTTCATCATAAAAATATGCTTCTTTTTGCATGATATCTTACATGCCCAGAATCTGGAATTAAAGACATGTATATAGTTGGAAACCATTAGTGTACTTTCCAACCTATGAATTCCCTAACCATTACTTATGGTTATAAATGGTCCTAGATGTCTCCCACTTTAGTGTCCATCCCATTACCTTTAATGAGACTCTGTCTCAGGTTTAAAAGAATTGTCTCCAAGCTATTGTGACAAACACTGTTTTTCTTTTCTTTTTGGAGGAGCAGAGTAAATTCCTAACAGAATAACTAGTTACAGCTTTTCAGCCATCCATGTTGATATTTTACCTACTTAGTCTTTCTTCTGTATTTATCTCCCTCACACATTCTAAGAAGCCCCGCCTTTCCCTGTTTCCTTGATCAGATACTTGTACCTGCTCTTCTGCTCTCTACTCCTCCCAGCATCACCCATAATCCTGGAAACGGTCCTGTTTTACTTTCCTGATTCCCATAGTTACTTACTACATAATCATATCTAGGAGCTGGGAGCTGCCAGCAAGTGACACTAAGACAAACACTATTTCCCACACATTTATAACAAGCAGGAACTTGTGGAAGATGACCATGTAGTGATCATGTTTAAAAGAGATTCCTTCCCATACAGTGCAAATCAAGGTCACCAATGTCATCATACATCATCAGCAACCAGACATTTTACAGTTTCACTCAACAGTCTTACCTTCCTGCCCTTGTCAGTTATTTGTCCTAGTTACCAGTGTCATTATCCTTTCAAATTAATTTAATGAATACTTTAAAATCATTTTGAGATCGAAAAATAGAAAACAACCACACTGGCTCAGATTCATGTATAATAATGTGTGCTCAATTATATTTTCAAGTTCACTCATTTAAGGGGTAATCATGCATGTATGTATAAAAATGATGCAGAAGTTAGTTGCTGAGACCACTCTTGCTATGAATATGAGACCACAAAGCACATGCTTTATATTTGCATGATTTTGTACTTAAAAAGTTTAATCTAGTTGAGAAATGGATTCATCCAAATTGCCAGAGCCAAGCATTTGATTTCATTGCCAACATATATTTACAGTAGCTGCACAGTGATGTTCTGTTTTAAAAAGCTCCAAGATATGGGCTGAAGATATAGCTCAGTGATTAAAAGCAGTTTTTGTTCTAGCAATGACCTGGGTTTGATTCTTAGCAGTGACATGTTTGTTCATAAGCATCTGTAACTCTACTTCATGGTGATCCGTTGCACTCTCTGATTAGGCAGATCAGTGGAGCCTAGATATTATATATAGGCAAAACACACAAATATGTAAAATAAAATTAACAAATAATGAATAAATAAACAAACAAATAAAGCTCCAGGATCATACATAATTCAAGCCTTGATCTCCAAACTGTAGAACTATAGCTCAATTCTAATTTAAAAAATGCAAGTGTACAAACCAGATACATATATAATCATTCATTATTAATTATACAGCAATAATTTATTAACATAACACATATGTTATGGGTAATTAAAACATGTTAATATAAGGTGAAAGACAGTATTCTAACTTATTTTTCTTATCCCAAAGATATGCAAGTTAACCTATCTACTTCATATTCATTGCTCTGTAAATGTTACTCACATACATTAATCAAGTAGCATTTTTCTTTGGAGCTCACTGAAGCTGAGAGTGGACAAGAAAAGACTGTGGCTGCCATGGCTACAAACTGAGATGTTAACATAGATACACATTGAGAAAAATCATATTTTATTTTAAAAGAAAATTGCAGTGTTGGAGGCTTTTACCTTAGTTTAAGTTGTAACCTTTTCTTGTAAGTACTAAAACACAAAGTATACCCATAAACATTCATAATAGTGAAGAGGCCATCTTGATTAAATTGACACAGAACAAAAGACTAAGCAGTGTGCAGGCAGCTGTGTGAAGAGACCCTGGCAACAAAAGAGACCAAGAGCTGCTTTGTGCATAGCTCTACATTCTTCCAAGAAAAATCACGTTACCTCTTCACTATTATGGTATTCGATTTTAGAACGGTCTTTTTTATAACTATATAGTGCTCTTTTCATTCTGCTTTGTGAAGAGTGAATGATGTAAAGAACATACAAATATATTATATTTAAATTATCATTTTCATTTTAAGTTTTACCATGTTTAGAGCATAATGCGCATAAAGCAGTGTGACAGCTCAGAGAGGCCATAAAGTGAAGAAGTGACTTTCAGGTGACAAGATAAAAGGCGTTGTCATATGTAATGCCCACTGTCAGCAACAAGAATTAAGTCTTCAGGAATCTCGGAAGGATGAAAACCTTAACCAATCAATTTCGTTCTATGAAATCTTTATAAAACAGATAATGCCAGCATGAATGTTACTGCTTTTTAATAAGTTATTAATTTATACCTGTTACCCGATACTCTTAAGTAATTTCAGTGCTTGAATTGTGCATTTGAAATTGAGTTTAGTGCAGCTGTGACTGGAAGCACACAGAAGCTGACTAGAATATTACAGCCTCACACTGACGATCCAGCTTTCCCAGATGAAGCAGCAGCAGCAGGAGGGTCACTGCAGAGACTGTGGGAAGCCATCAAGCTCAGAGATTCATCACAGGTTGCATAGCGTAAGTTAGGTAAAGATATAAAGATGTTCCCTGGAAAACTGTGTGTGTGTGTGTGTGTGTGTGTGTGAGAGAGAGAGAGAGAGAGAGAGAGAGAGAGAGAGAGAGAGAGAGAGGTTATTGGAATACTGACACTAAGAATAGAGCAATATCATACCATGTGCCTGGGCTGCACAACAGGAGTTAAGAACTGAGAGTTATATAAAATATATTTGTGAAATAAAAGAAACTTTAAGAAAAATGGAGGAAGTGTTCTCTGTTTTTGGTTGATGGTTGACTTGATCAGATCCATGGCCCTGCCTCTGCATTGGTGCAAATATTTACTGTGAATTGTCCAAAACAAAAGGAAAAATTTCTAATGCTTGAAAGCATAAACTCATGTTCTTATCATTTGGTTTTTTGTGTTGCTGATACTCTGTGGCCAGTGAGTTACTGACATTAGCTGGCATCCTTTTGTTGTGTTGTTTTAAAACAATTTTATACTTCTACATTATCTCTTTTCCAGTGTATTTTTGTTATATTTGTGTTGTGTGTTTCTGTGTGTGTGTGTGTGTGTGTTTAAGAGAAAGATGGAGGAGATCTCAACCTTTCGTTCAGACTGACTTCAAACAAATCCACGGTGCTTCTGCCTTAGCCTTGAAAATACTGGACTCCTAGGTGTCTGTCACCACATCTGCCTTCATTTTCCATTTTAATCTTATATATATTAGTAAATGATATTCCATCAAAATAAAAATAAACTTGTGATATTCATGACCTAAATTTAAGTTTACCTAGCATTTCTTTGTGAATACATATTTTAATCAACAATCTTATTTTATAACTACTGAAAGACACATTCGGGTTGTTGACTTTAATTTTATACTATTTGGGAATTTGTTGAGAATTTGAAATACTTTTCTAAAAGCTAATGAAAAGCCTGCTCAATATTATACTGGTAGCAGCGTTACAAGGTTTGATTTAGAAAACTTGAAATATTAAAACTGAATTCATTTTAACCAAAACACTTAAATATTTACTGGAAATCATTCAGTTTAAATTTTGTAAAATTAACTTTGCAAGAATTTCATAAATAATGTGGATTTCCAAATTCTTTTGAAATCCCCCCAAATATCTGCTCTACTATGAATCTAGAAAAATCTTATTATATACTGTTAATAATGTCATATGTCTTACTAGGCTATGAGTTGAAACTTTCTTAAGAATTCCTAAGTATATGCAAACTTAACAGACTAGAAAATTACTGGATAAACACTAAATTAGTTAATATTATTTATGTGTACCTAGCATACATTTATATAGTTAAATGCATACAACCAGCTAACTTGAAAAAAGTAGGAAAATGACAAAATACAAAATAGAGTTTTAAAGTACCTTAATATAAATGTACTCCTACAAACAAAAATATGTCTCTTATTTGTGTTTTTTACCCTTTAAGTTATTGTTACAGGGATGGAAAAGCAACATAATTGGCAATACCTAGGTGGAATCACAGTCTTTGAATTCTTAGAATATACACTTAGCAGAACCTTAGCAATACGGTCTCCTTAAAATATTGCATCTGGAGCTACACTTTGCATATATGTAAAAGTACATTCATTGTAAAGAATGATAGTTTTCGTGACATGTTTATTCACTGTATAATACCCATTGGTGATCTTCACCTTATTAGCCTGTTCTCTCTCTATCCATCCTTGTACTTGACCCCATCCTCTTTCCAATAGCTCCCATACTAGAAACACATATAAAATCAGAGACCCCATTAAGGGAAATCTATGTACTTTTATAAAGACTGATA